AGACCTTGCCTACTTAACTCTTCAACCTTATTTCTTGCTATCTTCCTTTTTAGCCATTCTGTTTACAGTCACACACACACACACACACACACACACACACACACACACACACACACACACACACACACACACACACACACACACATATATGTTTGATTATATTTGAGATAGGGTCTTATTATTGTCATTCATTATTGTTTTAAACTCCTGAGCACAAGGCATAGACTACCACATCCAGCTCAGCCTCTGATTCTTTTTTTTGGATCCGGTTGTGGGGGCTGAACTCTGGGCCTGGGCGCTGTCCCTCAGCTCTTCAGCTCAAGGCTAGCACTCTACCAACTTGAGCCACAGCGCCACTTCCGGTTTTTTCTGCTTATGTGGTGCTGAGGAATCGAACCCAGGGCCTCATGCATGCGAGGCAAGCACTCTCCCACTGAGCCACCTTCCCAGCCCCTCAGCCTCTGATTCTTGAACAGTCGTTTTTCTCCTCAGCTCCTTTGTGACTACTATTCTTTCTTGCCTAAAAAGTTTTTCCCATGATTATTCTCTTTGTATCATTCACATTTAATCTTAAGGGTTCCCTCTACCACCCCCCCCACCCCCGCTATCCAATCCAAAGTAAATTTCCCTCATGTTTCTTTCCTCATAATATTATGTCCTTTCCCTACATACCTATTTACATACCTATTTACATACCTATTACAATTCAAAACTATGTATTTGACATTACATATATTTACTTAATTATCTGGCTCCTCTACAGAGATAAAGCTATTGATGGTGAGAGTCTGTTCTATTTTATTTATTTTTGCTGTTCACCAATTTATACTTTGTACAGTACCAAGAACAGTCTTTGGCCCAGGGGAGGCATGAAATATTGGCTAAAATGATTAATCATTTGGCACTAGACTATAATAACAAGCTTATTAGAAAATGGATGAAAGTCTGCTGAAAAAGTTTCATTTATATTAGAATCACTGATCATCTCTGTGTACTTCTGAGACATATTACTTTTTACTTAATTTATAAGTTTAATTTAGAAAATATTCTTTTGAGAAAGGTGCTAACACCAAACACTGAAATATCATCTCTTAGTATTTAATTTGAATGTAACCATTATTAAGCATTAATAATGTGACCATTATTAAAATGGACAAACAAAAACAAGTCATTAACACCAGCATTCTTACATTAAACACCTCATATAACCAAACATTCATTTGGAAATTCAAATAAATAAGCAATATACAATAGTTAACAGAAAATTATGACCAGTGAACCGAAATAAATATAATTTTCTGAATAATTACTTGACAGTAGTATATATTTCCTTCTGACATTATAAAGAAAAAACATTTTTCAAGACAATCCTAAAATCCAAGAGATAAACCAACTCCATGTACTGGAGCAAAAATTAGTATATTTCATTTCGTTCTCTCCCTCTGTGATTCTTAAGGGTAAGTGAGCAGGGTATGTTTAAGGATCTTCTCATATTTACCTATCAGTAAAAAAGGAGTAGCCACAGACGTTCTTAGCTCTCTACTTCAAATAATATGCTAGAAAACTTCTAGGGTCAGGGATATGGCTCAAGTGGTAGAGCAATTGCAAGGTCCTGAGTTCAAACCTTAGTACTATCAAAAATAAGTTTCTAGTGAATGTCTAAATATTTTTTTTGGGGGGGGCCTGGGAAGGTGGCTCAGTGGTAGAGCACTTGCCTTGAATGCATGAGGCCCTGGGTTTGATTCCTCAGTACCACATAAGCAAAAAGAAAAAAGCCGGAAGTGGCGCTGTGGCTCAAGTTGTAGAGCGCTAGCCTTGAGCAGAAGAGCTGAGGGACAGCACCCAGGCCCAGAGTTCAGGCCCCATGACCGGAGCCCCCCCCCAAAAAAAAACAAAAAACAAAACAAAATAAAATAAATATTTTCGGGGGTTTTGTTGAGCCTGTAAGGCTGCTCTCAAGAACAGCAAGCTTTGTTAATAACAGAAACTGAGACATAGTTAAGTTTGTTTCACTCCCCCCACCCCCGTTTTGAGTTTATATTGAGTTTGAGTTTGTCAAATTCTTTATTGCCCAATAATCATTTCTGAAAAATTAATAGCAAGCTAATTTCATCTAATGATAATCAGTACCAATGAAGACAGAATTTGCTATAAGTTTAATAAAATAATTGAAGATGAAATTTAAATTATTTGATTGAATTTAAATTATTTGATCATACTAATGTGCATAATATTTGTTAAAAAAGTAGAATGTTGAGTACTTCAACTGAAATTAGTCTGTCCTATGCATTTCACTTGTGTGTAAAATGTAGAGGAAACAAAAAGAGAATCATATAGACTTGCAGGGTCTACTCAACAGCCTGGGAAACTTCAGACTGAGCTGCTGTAAACCTGGGGGTGTGGGTGGGGAGATAAGGAAAGCCATTCAGGTCCTTTCTACAGCTAAAAATAGAAGTTCTTATCTAGAGGAAAACAAGCTTTCATATCTACATATCCATAGAAACTTGTTTACAGGCAACTAATATATCACAATAACTGGTGATATGAATTGATCAGTGATAAAAAAAGAAATGAGATAAATACAGCAGGAAGAATGTCTATGTGTCAAGACCACAGTTTTGAGGGTAACTGTTGCAGTCATTTTGAGTTAAGAGTCAGAGAATAAACAAGTAAAGGACAATTATTATAAGTCTCTATAATAGATGAAACAAAAAGCTATTTGATAGAAGAATCATGCTACAAAGGAGGTGAGGTGTTTCAAATGTATTATCTATACTCTGTGTAGAGCAATGGATACCAGTGAACTGACTTCTGATTCACTGGGGCCCTTCCTGTGTTCCCCTCCATGTGTGTGTAGGAACTGAATCTGGAATGACAGATTTTTCAAAGGAAATAACAGAACAAAGTAACACTTTCATGCACTAAAGTTTAATGAGAACCATACCACTACAGAATTAGTATCTTATTGCAAAATTTCCTTCCTTCTCTCCCTCTTGTTTCCTCTTCCCTTTCCCTTCCTTTCTTTTCCTTTTCCTTTTTTGGTGCCTCTCCTGGGCTAGAATGCAGGGTCTGGGACATATTTCTGGCTTCTTGGTGGTTAACTAGAGATAAGGGTCCCTTGAGCACCTGTGTGAGCTGGCTTTGAATTGTGATCTTCCAATGTCAGACTCCTGAGTAGCTAGGATTGTAGGTGTGAGCCACTGATACTTGGCTTAAAATAAAAATGTTAATGGTTTCACACAAGGCTGAGAAACCTTAATTAACACTCTCAATATTGCATGGATATATTTTAAAAATCAACTTTATCAGGTTTTAATAAAGCCAGGATGATAAAAATAGAATGGGCTGGTGGCAGGGAAAGAAGTAGTGATGCTAATTTTACAAACATGAGTTGGACACTCAGTTGGTGTCCAGATAATAGAATTGCTGTTTGAATTAGTCTTAGAAAAGGTATCAGATATTTGAAGTAAGAACTTGAGAGTAGTTACATTTATCTTGTCTGCCTTTTTTTTTTTTTTTGCCAGGGCCTGTACACTGTCCCTCAGCTTCTTTTGCTCAAGGCTAGCATTCTACTACTTGGGCCACAACACCTTTTCTGGCTTTTTTTTGTTTATGTGGTACTGATGAATCGAACCCAGGCCTTCACGCATGCTAGGCAAGCACTCTACTTCTAGGCCACATTCCTAGCCCTTGTCTGCCATTTTATCCCTAGCATATAATGCAATGCCTGGTACAGCATTTAATACAAACTGTGTAAAAATACAAATGGAATTGCTATTACTGGAGTAGATACTGAGTAAGGAAAGTCTAAATTATTATCTGGTGTAGTGGTCCTGAGGTCTTCTCTGGCTTTGCTTCTGATACAACACTGAAAGTTGATAAAAAAAAAAAAAGAGAAAAGTAACAGGTCCAATTTTTTTGCTACATGACACTGAAGGCCACTTACAGAATTGTGTGCTATCAAGAAAGGAGTGGGAAGCAACAAAAGTGGTCACACTTCAGAGAAGAAGTGCAGCTTAGTACAACACAATGGTGATGTCACTCTTGACTTCTGGTGTGTCAAGTTCTGTTCTCCCAAAAGCTGTCAATCAGTAGAGCTCAAACTCTGCTCTACTGCCTGCTTTTTAAAAAAGCCACACAAATCAATAAAAACTATATAGTCAATGAAGACAATGAAAAACCTCACAAATGACCAATAAGTTAATGCTGATTAATTTATATTGCATTAATTTTTTGGAAGAAATTTATCAGTAGAGAAAGTCCTGTAGGGAGGGTACCCTTGGTCTATCCCTGAGAAACAGGTGATTCCAAGTCCTTAGGCACATAGGTTCTCTTCAGTACGGGCAAGTACTCATTTTCCCTCACCAACCTGTTACTCTGTCAGAGGTTCTCAAAGGTAGATTCATGTCTACATCCTCTCATGACCTTCTCAAGGGAAGGACATATTTCACTTTTTTGCATTTTCTTTCTTTTTGTTGTCAGTCATGGGGCTTGAACTCTGGGCTTGGGCGCTGTCCCTGTGCTCTTCAGCTCAAGGCGAGCGCTCTACCGCTTGAGCCACAGCGCCACTTGTTGTTTACTAGTAGTTTATTGGAGATAAGAGTCTCACAGACTTTCTTGCCCAGGCTGGCTTTGAACTGCAATACTCAGATCTCAGCCTCCTGTGTAGCTAGGATTACAGGCCTGAGCCACTGGCGCCTTTTTTTATGAGTATAAATTAGTTGTAGCCACTGGAGCCTGGCTGCATTTTCTTTTTTTATGACTATAAATTAGTTGTACAGAGGAGGTTCTATTGTAATAGTTCTAGGACTTGTCTTGTTTTTCAGTGCTGAGTAGAGAGAAGAGGCTCTTCCAACACCAAATAGCAAGAAGATGCCACATGTACTCAATATCCATTGTCAATCTGCTGAGGCTTATAAGTTCTAAAGAAGATGAGGAAAAGCCAAAAGGATATTGCAATAAAAAAACAATGTCCCCTTTGACACAGAAACAGGTCTTACCTGTGATGGGGTTATCCTTCCTTGTTTAACTTCAGATGAATTTTCACTTAGTTTTCCGACTTTGTTACTTGAGCTGCATTTGTAGCATGTCCATCTCATTTGCCCCTCGATTTCTACGGTGCATTCTTTGTTTTGTAGACAGAATGAATGATACAAGTGGCCACAGCTGCAAAATGAAGGCAATCAGTCTATGCTTTTTGTTACCATAAAACTCACAAACACAAACTGTGGTGGAGAGTACTTATACGTGTAAAGGTTCCTAATAGGCCGCAGTGCACTGCCAGTTATATTTGGCAGAAATTGGGAAAGGAAATGATCTTGCTGCTGACTTTGCTTTTTAAAAACCCAAACTCTCATATTTGTGTCCTTGAACGCAATCACAGTTCTGTGACTACAGGCCACCTGGAGTATGAGTTAAACTTCTGTCCATTCCCAAACTATGAAGTTTTGAAAGTAATTTTAGGTAACTGGAAAAAAAAGAAACAACAATCCAGCAGCTGGAAAAGTCATTGTTATTTAAGTAGTGTGGAAATAATATTAGTAGTCTATCATATCAAATTCAAAGCAAGAGTTAGGACTTGATGAAACACTGATAACATGTCATTGCTGCACTATTCCTGTGAAGAAATTCCCTAGTGATTATATGAATGATCAAACTCTTAGAAGTTGAATACTGAATATGAGCCAGTTGTCTTTACTGATTCCTCCTTTTTTCCCAACTTAAAATGTTGGAGTAGCCCACAAGTCAGTTAGATAGTCTTTATATTCTTATGTAGTCTTTACATTATTTCTCTTCTCTATGCTTTTTTTTTCTGTTCATAACTGATTTCTTTTATACTCATCTTCTCTCTATTGCCTTTGCTGCTGTGATTACTTCTGGTTTTACACTAAAAATACCATAGGCTCAAATTTATACTTTTATTCCAAACTTATACCCTAAACCCTACCTAGTCTTCTTAAGAATTCTAGTCTGGATATCTAATAAGCATCTGGATATCTAATAAGTCAGCCTGACTGTTCTTTCTTTCTCACTATAAGTAAATCCTATTAGCTCTACTTTAAAATTATATTCCAAATCCTCCTTTCTAAGTTCTTTGCTATTGTCCAAGGCCATCTCTCTAACAGACTACAGCAGTTGCCTAACTGGCCACTCTACTTTTCCTTCTGATCCTTCATAATCCATTCTATGGACACAGCAATCAGACTGACCCCTTAAGAAATAAAGCAAAGTCAGGTGCCAGTGGCTCACGCCTATAATCCTAGCTACTCAGGAGGCTGAGATCTGAGGAGTGTGGTTTGAAGCCAGGCCAGGCAAGAAAGTCTGTTGAGACTCCTATCTCCAATAAAGCACCAGAAAACCAAAAGTGGCTCTGTGGCTCAAGTGACAGAGTACTAGCCTTGAGCTGAAGAGCTGAGGGACAGTGCCCAGGCCCAGAGTACAAGCCCCACATAAAAAAAGGAATAAAGCAGCCAGGCGCTGGCTGCTCACATCTGTAATCCTAGCAACTCAAGAGGCTGAGATCTGAGGATTGCAGTTCAAAGCCAGCCTGAGCAGGAAAGTCTGTAAGATTCTTATCTCCAGTTAACCACCAAAAAACTTGAAGTGGAATTGTGGCTCAAGGGGTAGAATGCTAACCTTGAACAAAAGATCTAAGGGACAGCGCCAGGTCTTGAGTTCAAGCCTCAATACTGGAAAAAGAAAACAACACAAGAAAAACAAAAAAAAAAAAAAAAAAAACAGAAAAAGAAAACTAAAATTAGATCCTTATATATCACCAATAGCTTCTCATCTCAGGGGAGGAGTCTAACCTGGCCTCTGCTCCTCCTCTTAAGTCCTTTCTTGTCATTTCCCCTTCCTTTTCTGCTCAGGCTGACTAGCCTGCTCACCAGCTACTACTCCAGGGCACTAAAATGCAGCTGCCTCAGTCTCCACATGCCTGTGGGAAACACTCGATCTGAGGCTGCCTGGCACAGTGAGGTTTTTCTCAACTGCTCTTTAGAAATAAGGTGCTTTCAGTATTCTCTTTCCTATATACCATGTTTTATTTTCATCATTGCATTTTTATTAGTCTTCAAAATTATATTTATGTTCATAAGTTAACAGTGAGGCATCCCCTAACCACTCTACATAAAATACTAGTCCCTCAAATTCTGTGTCCTTAAACATGCCTTATTTTTTTCCAGAGTAGCAATTACTGTCTAGTTTTCTCGTTTGTTTATTGTCTGCCTGTGTCACTAGACTATAGACTCCATAAAGCAGTTCCTTTGTTTTGTTGTTTTCCTCAACTATTTGAATAGGAATGGGTAGATAGTAAATGTTCAATAAAAACCCATCTTCTTCCAAACTCCAAATCTACCAATCTTCCTATGAAGTTGACAGCAGCATAGTTCTTACTCATGCAAGGCTGGTCAAGTATCTTATATACGTTTCTCATTTCAGCTTCACAAAACCCTATGACGGAGGAATCATTTCCATCTCAACTTACACATGAAGAAAAGAAGATAGAAAAAGAGGTTTAATTTGTCCAAAATCTCATGTGGCATGTGGCAGAGTTGGATTTGATCTCAAGCAGTTTGGTTCCAGAGTCCATATTAGCAGGCATTGTAAACCTAGGTCCTACATGTGTGCACGAGGCCTCTTCTTTCTTTGTAGTGTGAGTTCATAGAATCTCTTGGCTGATGATTCCTAAATTTATATTTCCAGCTTTAACAGTCTCCAGATTTCTGATTAGAATGTCTGTCTACCAGAAGACCCTGCTTGCATGTTTAACAGCCATCTCAAACCTAAAATTAGCACAATAAAACCTTTGATTTCATTAGTTCCTTCCACTTATCCTTCCTTATCTTGGGCAGGAATATCATGTTCATTCAGTTGCTTAGGCCAAAGATATTATTAATGTTTCCCTTACACTTCATATCTAATGTAGCAGCAAGTTAGCTCTCCCCTAAAATATACTCGGAGTTCAAACGCCTCTCAGCATCTCATTCCTACCTCTCTCATTCTGTTCAAATGTCATCTCCTCAGAGATGCCTTCCCTCATTGTGCTTTCCTAAAATAGCACTCTTTTCCAGCACATGCCATCCTTCTATCCCTGTGTTGAGTTGCATGTTTTTCCACCAATCTCAGTAGCTGGAATTTATTTGTTGTCTTGACACCCTAACTCCTTTCTTTCTCCCAATTCCCATGCAGAATGGAAGGGCAGACACTCTGTCTTTCTCTCTGCTTGAATGACTGGGACTGTGAATCCATATGCATGCACTCTTGCCTGCTAATGTCACACAAGTACATAAGTCACACAAGTAATAATTCCCTTTCCTCTCCTACCTAAAGACAATAATTTCATCAGCCATTTCTTGGCGTCTCTTGTACTGCTGCAGACATACTGAGCAATAATCCTGTTTAGGATTCAGCCCTCTTGTGACCGAAGCTCTCAGGTTACACAATGACCAGTGGAGATCTTGGTTTAGAAGGCTGGTTGTTGTTTCTAGTAGAGTCTAATGAAGACCAAAACAAGAAAACAAGCAAAAGGTTATAAAACGAAAGATAGAGATGAGTGAGAAACAATGTCTGTTTTTCAACTACAAACAACCCAAATTAAGAGCACATTCCAAAGGATAAAATTATAAAAAACAGCCATCAATAGTCCACAAACTTAAGCAGTTAATTAATTAATTATGGTACTGGGGATTGAACTCAGGGCCACATTTTCTAGATAAATAGTCTATGACAGGCCCTCAGTCCTTTCGCTTTGTTTGTTTTTCAGGTTAAGAGACTGGTAGGCAATAACTTTGTCTGAGGCCAGCCTTGAACTTTGGTCCCCTACCTGTAGAGTAGTTGGAATTATAGGCATAAGCTACCATGTCCAACTGTATTTGAGATAAGGTCTTGCTAACTTCCCCGCTGCCCCCACTCCCCCAGAACTGGACTTGAATGTGATCCTCCTTTTCCTGCCACTTAAGTAGCTGGGATTACAAGCATAAGTCACCATACCAGACCCTTTACACATGCATGGTCATACATGAAAACTCCCAAGTCTGTTACTAGATTCAATCTGAGAAATGAATTCTGCCAGTCTGTGGCTTCAATATTGATAGCGTTCAAATGGCTATGCAAATCAAACTCTATTAATTACATTTATATAATAACTTCTCCCTGGATGGCTCAGGCTGTTAGAGAATAGACTAGATCTGATTAGATCTGATTTTTTTTTTTTTAGGTTGAAACTGTATCCATGTCAATGTTTTAAATAATCTTCCCCTTGAAAAGCTAATGCTCATTTACTCAGCTTTCATCTCCCTTGGGAAGAGATCACATTTTCTTGAGCAGCACTTTTTAAGTCATTTGAATCTATTTAAGCCATATAAAGACATTTTCTCTGCTATCACATTGTTTTAAGGATGTCTGTGCTTCTGAAGTACTTTTGTCATAAGGTACTACTTGCTACCATTCACATATATCGTTTGGATGTCCAGTTGGTTCCCAGAGAAGGGCGAGGGGCAACTCACCTCTCCTTGCTATATAGCTTAGCTCTTCTAACTTTACTTATAATGCAAACATTTTTGTTTTAGCTGCTTAACTATCCTAATTCTTCTCAATCAATATTATCTTTTCCTATTCTTTCACAGTTGGCAAAATTTTTCTACTTTATACTCAGCTTTACTTCTAATAATCTAGGATCTAGATTATTATTAAACTATTAAACTATATTGAGCAAAACAGCAATTTTTTTTTTTTTTTGGTGGTATTAGAGTTTGAAAGCAGGGCTTCATGCTTGCGAGGCAGGCAACTTGAGCCTGGCTTTATCCTCCTATTTAAGCTTCCTACTATAATTAGGATGACAAGTATGTACCACCACACCCAGCTATGGATTGAGACAGCTCTTGTGAACTATTTTGCCTGGGTGGGATGGCATCTGACCATAATCTTTCTGATCTCAGAATAAGCCATCATTGCCCAGCATAAAACTGCAATTCTTGTACCTCCTAAAAATAGTTGTGTACTAAAATTTTCTTTTTCTTCTCTTTTAAATTCTTAAAAAAGCAAACATTGTATCTAACATGCCTTAATTATATCTTCTCTAAGGATATAAACACCAAACTGGCTCTTACTAAGAATTAAAGGTATAGATAGTTTTGAGTTAAAGGAAGACTAATGACAACTTTTGGTTAGTAGCAATGACCTGTTTCAGAATATGAAAAATAACACTCATATAACATTATTCTGAAATTTCATGCTGCCCCTTGCTTTTTAGAGCTTATAATTTTGTAATCATTTTTTTTCCAGAAAATCTCTCATACTTTCATCTTGAAGATACTAGTTTCACTGCCAATGAATCAAAAAATAAAATTGAATTTTAATTAGATACATATTCTGGAATATACACATGTAAGTGAAAATTAAAATCAAGGAAAAATTTAACTAGGAAAAAAATACCCATACATCTTAATCTACTTTTATTTTTAGTGGGCAGATAGCTAGTTTTAAAAGAATAAACATAAAGGCAAAGGAGAGGAAAAGGAAGACAACAGAAAGGAGAAAGTGTAGCTTGTTTTCTGAGCGTAACAAGTTAGCTTACTTACTTGTTCATAGTTAAAGGTGTCTAACATTCCCAGAATAAGTCCCTGGATTTCTCCAAGTTTTCCTTTTCCATAAACTGGGTCCTAATTAGAAAAAAAAGTTAAAAATATAATTCTGATTCGATTCTTGATACTTAAAAATTACTTTAAAATATAAGGTATCTGTAGGCCAAATGTTCCTAAGATTTGTTTTTAACAGTCAAAGGTAACGTCCACTGGAAATACACAGTATTCTTTCTGAATATCTCAAATATATCAGAAAAAGTGAAAATGCCCGAAGCCCCTTCTTAACAATCTTCTTTGCAAATATATTAAACTTCTCTGTGGTTCTGTTTCTGTGAGAAGTTTCTTCTTTATTCACACTGAACAGTAACTGTCTCTCTCTCTCTGTCTTCCTGTTTTTTTCTTTGGGTTTTTATTTATCATCTGCTTTAAGTGGAATATTAGAATTTGACCAACAACTTCTCCTGTGATCTATATATGCTACTTCCTGGCCCAAACCAACTAAACTGTTTCAGTTTTGGAGACCACAGGATATGAGGAAATAGCTTTCAGTCTTTCAAAGCCTTTTTTTCCTCCAATAAAGTCATTATGAGTAAACCACAAATACCTACAAACTCTATCTTCTCTCCACTGATTCTCATATGAGGTATGTCAGGTAACTTGTTTATTATGTATAATTTGGAAAACACTAAGTGTACTGAGAACCTCCAAAAAATACCAAACTGAAACGCAACCATCCAGTTAATAAAATTTTTATGCTATCAGAGCAAACTATGAATTCAGAAAGAAAGGAGGTCTAAGATGGCTTCTCAGTTTTTGACTTTATAATAGGTTCTTTTGGTCCTTTTAGTATCTGTGCATAAGCTAAGGAAATGTAAGGGACAACATAGCTATGAATTTTTTCTACTAGTTAACGAAATTTACAGGTTTAGGGTTGAACAGGCCACATAAAATAGAAAAAATTTTCTTTTACAGCTAGGGATTATATCTTTAAGCTAAAGATACTTGCAAACAAGTAGAGACTGTTCATGAAAGGCAAAACTATGAAAAGCTGGTCCTTTGATAGGAAAACAATTTAGATGCATGCACCAGATAATTTGTTTTATTTTCCTTGCATAAAAATAAAACCACAGTAGTGCTTTTCATCTTCACTTAATTAGGCTTGGGTCAACCTCCCATTAACCAGAGTTATTTCTCAGTCAAAGTACCAATGGATAGTGTAGTGTTTTATTATAAAAAGTCTGTCATAGTGGCTGGGAAGGTGGCTCAGTGGTAGAGCGCTTGCCTTGCATGCCCTGGGTTCGATTCCTCAGCACCACATAAGCAAAAAGAAAAAAAAAGCTGGAAGTGGCGCTGTGGCTCAAGTGGTAGGGCGCTAGCCTTGAGCTGAAGAGCTGAGGAACAGCGCCCAGGTCCAAAGTTCAGGCCCCATGACTGGACCCCCCCAAAAAAAAAGTTTGTCATAGTATCTATAATAATAAATGTATTCCAGAATACTGAGGTAGCTCAGACATGCATTTCTGACAAGGGTCATAGAATAGAGATGTCTTTTTTTAAATTTATTTTTATTTTAAAGGTGATATACAGAGGGGCTAGAGTCCCCTAAGTCAGGTAATGAGTACATTTCTTTTTGAACGGTGTCACCTCTTCTCTCATTTTCTCCATTTTTTCCCTCCTGACTGTCTTCCCTTTATAGTTCATTTTCAACATAGTGTCTAGTGAGTATCACTGCTGCATTTGTTTACCCTTTGTCTCACCATTTCTGTGCTCCCCCAAACAGATAAACTTACATATAAGATAAAAGGTACAGAAATAAAAAAACAGAGACAAAGGGGAAAAAAAACAAAAACAAGAACAAAAACTAAAATAAAAACCCCTCTTGTTTCCATTTCTTGGAATTCATTGTGATAAACACCATTTTATATGTTCATATGCACATAGCTAGTGAGCCTTTGCAATCCTCTCCTAAGAATATTCTCCATTGGTCTCATTGTGTGAATGTTTAGAGTCGTGTTTAATTTATCATATCCAAGTGTAATTTTTTGTCTTTTACCATCCATTGTGTTTACCTGTAGATTTATAGACACATTCTAATTACTACAAATGAGGGAGACCATGCACCTATGTTTCTTTGGGTCTGGCTTATTTCACTTAATGTAATTTTTTCCACTTTTCCATTTCCTTAAGAATGGCACAATATCATTCTTTCTGATATAAGCACAGAATTCCACATTTTTTGATCCATCTGTCCACTGAGGAGCATCAGGTTGATTCCATATCTTGGCTATGGTAAACTGGCACAAGAATAGGTCCAAGAGATAGGCCTGAGACAGCCTCTTCAACAAATAGTGCTGGTAGAATTGGCTATACATGGGCAGAAAATGGAAGCTAGACCCTCATATATCACCACAATCAATTCCAAATGGATCATAGACCTCAAGGTAAGGCCAGATACCATGAAAATGTTACAGGAAAGAGTAGGGGAAAAACTAGAGTTCCCAGGCACAAGCCAAAACTTCCTAAGATCCAGAATCACAGCAAATCAAAGAAAGACTGCACAAATGGGTCTGTATCAAGTTAAAGAGTTTCTGCATGGCAAAGGACATAGCTAGCAAGATAAACAGAAAGCCCTCAGAATGGGAGAAGATTCTTATAAGTTATGTATCAGACAAGGGCCTCAAACATAAAATATCCTTAGAACTCAAAAAATTAACCCCCTAAAAACCCTCAAAGAAACAGCAACCCAATTAATAAGGAGAGACTTCTCAGAAGAAGTAAGAATGGTCAATAGATATATGAAATGTTCAACATCTCTGGCCATAAAAGAAATGCAAATTAAAACAACACTGAGATTCCACCTCACTTCAGTTAGAAGGGCCATTATCAAGAAAACTAACAACAGCTGATGCTGGTAGGGATATGGCCAAAAGGGAAAACTACTACATTGTTGGCGGGAATGTAAACATTTTTTTTGCGAGGGGGGGGAGGGGAAGGTCGCATCGTGGGGCCTGAAATCTGGGCCTGGGCGCTATCGATCAGATCTTCAGCTGAAGGCTAGTGCTCTACCACTTGAGCCACAGCACCACTTCCGGCTTTTTTTCTTTTTACTTATGGGGTGCTGAGGAATTGAACCCAGGGCCTCATGCATGCAAGGCAAGCGCTCTACCACTGAGCCACCTTCCCAGCCCCAGGAATGTAAACTTGTTCAACCACTCTGGAAAGCTGTATGGAAGTTGCTCAAAAGACTAAAAGAGCTTACCTATGACCAGCAATTTTAATCCTGGGCATTTATCCAATAGACCACAAACAAGGCCACACTATAGCTACCAGCACAACCATGTTTACTGCAGTACTTTTACCATAGCCAATGTATGGAATCAACCTTGAGATGTCTCAAAAGGTTAAATTCTGCTGGGTGCCCATGGCTCACACCTATAATCCTAGCTACTCAGGAAGCTGAGATCTGAGGATCTGAGGATTGCCTGCCAATCCATGGAGGCAAGTCCATGAGACTCTATCTCCAATTAACTACCAGAAAACAGGAATTGACACTGTGGGTCAAAGTGGTAGAGCACTAGCCTTGAGCAAAAGAGCTCATGGACAGTGCTCTGGCCCTGAGTTCAAGCCCCATACCACCACCACCACCAATGACAAAAAAGTTAGATTCTGAGGAAAAGAACTCTTTCTTTTTTTGCTAGCTCCAGAGCTTGAACTCAAGGCCTGTGTGCTGTTCCTGATCTTGTGCTCAAAGCTAGTGCTCTACCACCTGAGCCACAGCACCACTTCCTCCTTTTTCTGAATAGTTTATTGGAGATTAGAGTCTCACAGACTTTCTTGCCATCCTCAGATTTTTGGACTCCTGAGTAGCTAGGATTACAGGTGTGAGCCACCAGAGCCTTTCAAGAAGAACTCTTAATAGGTCATTTCTATATTTACTTCAGTACATTTTACTTTAATATACATAATTTAAGAGCAAAACCATGAAAACTACCTCATGCTGGTACAACATCTAAATTATAGAATGTAAAAGTGAGCTCAAGGCTTCTAGCGCAGCATGGCCACAATCTACTAGCTCTACAAATTAGTTTTTAAAGTTGTCAGCTAGATTCTTCAGCAATAAGTAACTGCTGAGGTTTCTCTTTAGCTTGTTTGTAAACTATTTGGGGAAAAAAGAGCACATTGGGTACCCTACATAAAAATTTCCAGAAGCATACCAGAAAAAGGTGATCACTACTTATTTTCTTAATGTTTTCTGGTACTTCTTGTAATAGATATGCAAATGTTTTGCTTTAAAGTAAAAATCTTTCTTAATGGATTATTACTTTAAAATAAAAAATGCCTATGCAGAGCAGAATATAAATTATTTAATTTCCTTTGGTAAGAAACCCACAAATAGCTGGATGCTGGTGTCTCACAACCTCCTAGCTACTCAGGAAGTTGTGAGCCAGAGGGTTGCAGTTTGAAGCCAGCCTAGGTAGAACAGCTTGTGAGACTCTATCTTCTATTTACCAGTAAATAGCCACACTGGAAGCATGGTTCAAGTGGTAAAAGTCAAGTGAGCATGAGGCTTGGCTCCAGGGAAAAAAAGAAAAAAAGAAACTAATATATAGCTAAGTAAGGTTGCTCACATTTATAATCCTAGATTGGGAGGATTGTGATTAGAGGCCAGCCTAGGAAAAAAAATTCATGATACCCCAAGAATGCATTTGTTATCCCAGCTATGAAGAAAGCATAAATAGGATTGCAGCCCAAGCCAGTCCAGGCAAAACCTTATTTGGGAAATAATGAAAATGAAAGAGGGCTGGGGGTGTGGTTCAAGTTAGAACACCTACCTAGCAAATGCAAGTATTTGAGAGTGAGAGAGAGAGAGAGAGACAGACAGACAGACAAACACACTAATAAATGGCTACTTAGAGACTAAGAATTATTTTTGTCATGGAGTAAAGAAAGAATGATCCTTGAGAACCTCTAATTGTACCAATATTTCTTCTGGAAAAATCAGCTTTTTTTTTCATTTGTATCTGAGCAACTGTGTCTAAATAATTGGTACTCCCCACCTTCTCCCCAGGAGACCTTATAAAGTAAGATG